TATAGGCTAAAATGGTCATAATTTCAGATGAAAGACCTAATGGAACGTACTCTTTTGGGGTTTTTCATACTTCACTGGGATCTACTTAATGTAAAGAGTCCGAACTCGAAAACGTTTTAACACTTGTTGAGTTTCCCTCGTAAGAAGTATTAGCATCAGTTATCGCCATTTATCATGAATGGGCGCTCTCTTTTCTCTTATGATTTTCTTTCTTGCATTACATCATGTGTACTGTTCTATCTTATGAATTTTCCTTTTTTTTTGTTTGTTCAATGATAAGTTTTCCTAATCTATGTTTTCACTTAGATGTATGTCATACTCCGGGTAGAGCCCATGTTTTTGTATCTTTTCGTTCAATGGCTACAAATTCGAGAACTGGCTTTAGACAATCTTGTGCATTGGCTCGACGATAAACAATTGAGCCATTATTATCACGAAGCCAACTAAGAATTGAAGAAATAAGTTTCAAAAAAAAAAAAGGATAAATATTTCGATTTTACCGAGTAACAACTGAATCACCAGCATGATTTGGACCCCAATAATATAAACGACCACGACCAGTTACTAATTAAAAATATTAATATTTGATTTTGAAAATCATTCTTATAATATTTTCTTCTTACTTCCTGTTCTTCCCATTGGATTTCGTGGTCTATTTGTTATTGAATCAACATAATAACGTCCAGTAAAACTTGTACGATCAATCTTTTTATCAATTTGATTGAAATTATTTATTTTCGATCTAAACTAAATCATATAAATAAATGTGTGTGTGTTTTTTTTAATGTCTATCATACGATAGGAAAAGAAAAGAAGAAGTCGTATTTACGGATCAATAGGATCTGCTTTTGGATTATGTTTTATTTTCTCAGTTGTATATTCTACAGGTTGATAATCATTAAATATAACATTCCAAAAAACTTTATTGTCAGGAACAGGAAAACGCTATAAAATGAAAAAAAATAATAATAAAATATTTTTATTATTAATTAACCTCCACATCACTATTATAAGATAAAGATCGACATGTTTCATGAGGTTTTACATGTAACCTTTCAACTTCATTTATTGATGTCCTACGTGGAGACTATATATATATATATATCTATATAGAAATATTATGAAAAATAAAATTATTTAAACTTACTCGAGAATCTCTATATCTTGAATATTCATGAGAATTTTGATTTGTCAATTTTAAATAACTTGGAGAAAGAAGATTATTATTAACATTAGATACCTAAAAATATAAAATATGATTTTTTTTTTCTTCCTCAAAGACTACTTTTTTATTTGTAATATGTGTATTAATTATTATTAAGAATAAACAATATTCGAAAAATGGAAAATTTTGATTTTAATTTGTTTGTTTGTTTTTTTAATAAACGTTCAGATTTAATAAAGGAAGAATACTTGTGCCTTTCTGTATGAACTATTACAATCGAAAATTTTAAAATTTGACCGAACCGAAATACTCAAGCACACCCTATACGTTTGTCAGATAATTAGAGTTCATCAGATCTCAAATTTTTGGACTTGATGTACTTTACTATTGACCCGAAACAAACAATATTTATTGACTTGTCCAAAGTCACGTCATGACTGATTTTATTAAGATTTGAACAAAAGTACCTATTGAATATGGGTCAAATAATGTAGTTACTCAGCTATGACAGCGTCAAAGAAGACATCAATTGTGTCTTTAACATAAAATTTAATTTGTAGAGTAAATATCAAAGAATAGAATCTTTCATATCAATATTTTTACTATTATTATTTAAATTTTAATCAAAAGACATACGTTTTTCGAATTATATATTGTAGCACTTCTATATCGACAATATTCTTGAACATTATCTTGTATATTATCTGTATTTGTTTTATGTCGTATGAATTTTTGATTTGAATTCGAAGTTAAATAATTCATTTCTTTTTCAATAAATGAATAATGTTTATAAGAATGTTTATTAACTTGTTGATATGCAGAAGATCGATATTGAAAATAATTTTGTATTTTTTTTGATTGTGTTTGTCGAAAATAAGGAAGACGAAAATTAATAGATCGTGACTTATTAATATCGTTTTCAAATTGAGTAATTTTTTCATTTTTTGATGAAAACAATGTTGACGATTTTCGTTCATTTCGATCCATGAATATATTCATCAATCCAATTCACAGTACTAAGATATAGATTTTGTTTTTTTTTCTTTATCAAAATCACTAAACTCAATATAAAACTTACCAGCAATTTATAGAGTAGTTGCTTTAACAACCATAATAAACATTACATATTGCTACTATTTCTACCTATATGTTATACTATATTATTTGGTGTGGATTCGTTGTTTTTTTTTTTCTCTCTTCCTTTTTTTTCGGTTATTAAGAAACGAACAAAAATAATATTCTCCATATGTGTACATATCTATTTACGTGAAAAAAAGGTTTGAATGTATACATGATACATTGTAAAAAAAAAATTTCTTTATCCACCTACAAAAATGTATATGTCTGTAATAGTGTTAATTTGGTTGTTTTCTAATGATGGGTTTCTCTGTTTACGTATATATGTAAAAGGCAAAAAAAAAACAAAAATATGTAACACACAAAATGAATATTTTAATTTGATCGAATAAAAAAACAGAAAAATAAAAAAAGTACAATAATTGATGATATTTGTTGTATAATAATGGCTTGATCAGTTAATATATTTTTATCAAGAAAATATTTTACACCAATACGACAACGCATATCATTATTAGCATTAACTTCACAACCATAGAGACCACCGGGACATTCACGATTAGCTGATTTTTCAATAAAATCCATAAAAAGTGTCAATTGTGCTATTTCAGTAATAATTGATATTGTTGAACAATTTGTTATATGTGATAATGCACATATATAATAATCATATGTATCTTTACACCATTTTGCTTTTTCATAAACAGACCAATGAGTTTCAAAATGAACACGATGTTCAATAATTGGACTACATTCTCTACCAGCCTAAATTATTTTTAAATAAATATTTTCTATTTATAAAACTAAATATTTACTTTTTCAATATCACATATTGGCATTGGTGTTGTTGTTAAACGTGCTGTTGTATTTATTAATAATTTTGATGTTGTTAAACATCGATAATTAATAATATTTGTTTCTGTTATTCCAGTACAATATTTTCCTGTACGCCATGCATTACGTTTAAGTTGAGCATCAATTGATGCTAATGTTGTTGCATATTCAACACGCATATCACAACAATGTAAACGTTCATTAATACAATCTGTATATGTTTTACCAGCATCACAAAAAGCAAATAATTGTTCTTTTGTATAAACATCTGATTTAATTAATTCTTCATCTTCTTTTGTTGGTCCTGGTGGACATTCTGATGCTTTCCAAATTTCACATTCATAACTTATATTAATAAGAAATAAAAAGAAAAATATTTGATATATCATTTTCAATCAATGATCAATTAAATGTTAGTGATGAAAAACAAAAAAATAAAATGATTTAGTTTATTTTGTATTTGTCAACAGGATTAAGAGATATAAAGATATACAAATCGATCGAAGATATATAAATGGCGTTAAATAAAATAAATTAACGTCTATCATTAAATATTTATCTGTTGTCTATTGTTCATTATACAAATGTCGTCTGAAGTTTTGATTAAAAAAACAAAAAAGCTAATAACTAATCGACGACAAAACAATTGATGATAGAAGATTTTTGACACATTTTTACCAGCTGTGTCCAAAGAACTGATTCTTTTTTTTTTAAATAGCAATTATAATGATCATTGAAATAATATATAAGCGAACGATTACCTATCAAAGAATGATAAATAAACAGATGCAATATATATATCAGAGTTGTAATCAGTTTGTTAAGTCATTTTCTTTTTTTACAAGTCTCTAACAAGAAATACTATATTATTATTGTTATTTATATCTGATAAATTTCTCAAATGATGAATTTTCTGCTAAAGAAATAAATTAAAAAAATGTAACTTCAATAGTAATGATAAAAGCACTACGTCTTCTGAAATAAACTCATATTTAGAAGATATATTATATAATGATATTGTCGAATATATTTATTTTGTTCCATTTATACAAAAAAACAAAAAATCAACCATAAGATGTAACATAAAATGTTTATCCTCAACCAGATTGCATTCAACTTTGTTAATTTGACATTTTGATCAAATAGGCAACAAAAAAAGAAAGTATATAAACATAAAATACCAAAAAAAAAAAAAAACGAAAAATCTAAATAATATATTGACTATATTCTTATAAATACTGTGAAACCCATCGAAATGCTTCTCCATAACCTTCTCGTCTTAATACACTACACATAAATACTTCCATCGGACGACCATTAATACTTGAACGAGGAACAATACCCTATCATCATTCAAATAAATTATAACAGAAAACAGAAAAAAAATTTTTTTTTTTCATTTACTTTTCCTGTTGTTGCTGTCGAAATACCAAGTATATAACGAAGTTCTTGTTCACTAGCAGCACCCGGTAAATCAATTTTATTTCCAAGTATAACAATAGGTGCATTAGCTACTTGTTCATCTGTTAATAAACCCTATAAAAAAAACAAAACGTATTTTTAAATAGATTAATATAAAAGTAGAATAACAAAAAATATCAAATACAAACATCAAGTTCATGTTTTGTTTCAACAAAACGATTTCGATCAGCTGCATCAACAAGAAAAACAATTGAATCAACAGCTGGAAAATAATCTTTCCATACACGACGAGCTACAAAAAAAAAAAATAAAAGAATACTAAAATTGATAATTTATTCTTTTAAACGTAAGCGCTATAAAATCAAAAAAAAAGAACTTTAATTACCTTGAATATGACCACCTAAATCAAATGTTGTAAATTTCATATTTCCAATAATTAATTCTTCGGAAGCTATAAATGAAAAGAAAACATTTTGTTTTTTTTTTTGTAATCTAAATAATATCATATCATACTTGGATGTAGAGTTGGTACATGTTGAGCAAGTCGATCATCTTTTAACATATGTAATAGAGTTGTCTAAATAATAGATAGAAAAATTTAAGATTTATTAATTCTTTTATTTTACTTTTCCGGCATTATCAAGACCAAGAAATACAAGTTTACCACTTTTTTTATGTAAACCTATTTAATATATAATATTTAAAATAAACTAAAATATAATCTTTATAAATACATACCAAGTGTTGATAAAATACTAGTAAACCAATCCCATAAAAAACTCATGTTCGTTTATTTTTTTTTACTAATAATATTAATCTTATAAAAAATAATCTTCTAAATAGACACGTATTTGAAAGAATAAAATTTTTTTTTTTGGTACATTCTTGTACCAATCAATATTATTTTCTTGTTTGATAAGCGACATCTTAGTAATAGTTGATTTGTCTACACGATTTTATTTGATGATGAATGATTTTTGTTGAAAAAAAAAGACGTTCATAAATATAAATAATGATTATTTATGATATTTTATTCTTAATTTTATTTTATTTTTCATTAAATCAAATTATATTTGCATCATCAGGTGATAAACATTATTTATATCGAGCATGTTTAAATCATTGTAAACAAATTAATTGTAGTACATCATTAGGTTTACAAGATTTTCATAAAAAACAAACATTTTTTGAATATATATTTCAATGGTCATGTCAAGATGAATGTTCATATCAATGTATGTGGAAAACTGTTGATGATATGCAAGTAAATGGACACTCAATTGAACAATTTCATGGTAATAATAATAATAATAATATACAGAGGCGTACGCAGGGGAGGGGGGCGAGGGGGTCCGCTCCCCCTCTGCGAAGTTGGGCCCCCTCCTTGAAAAATTTCTGCGTACGCCACTGATAATATATGAAATTATTTAATAGTTAAGAGTTTAATACTTAGAATACAAAACAAATGATAAATTCAGATAATTGATTTTTGATGAGAAAATCTTATGTTACATATGTAATGTTTCTTTTTTTGAAAACGAACATTTATGTAGGTTATAAAGAGCTTCGAATATTCTGAAGAGATTTCAGGTTAATAGCTTACTACTGTGTGTTTTTTTTTATTCAGAAAAATTCAGTTTCATCTCGAAACTTTACATAGAGTTAGACTTTAAGGGTACCCCCGCTTTCTGAGGTTTCTTAAGAACGACTCATCAGAAAAATTTGAAATTTTCAACACAGATAGATCTTGATGAGTACAGCAAAAGTTATCATAGACTCAAAATTCCCTGATGCTATCTTCTATGGATCACAATATCGAAAAATGGCCCTAGTTCCCCCCGCCGGTTTCTTCAAGACGGTATTTTTTTACGGGTAGTAGACACTGTTTGTGGTGCATTTTTTTTAATCTTTTGTTGTTTCAATAAAAATGTCAAAATACTGAGCCTACCCTAAAAAACGCTTGTTTTTATTCCTCTAACAAATTTTGTGAAAGCTATCAAAAATCACCAGAGTAATAATTCTTGAAAAGCAAAAAAAAAATACTCACCCCAAATGGTGAGTAGAATATGTAAAAAAAAAAAGTTTCAGCTCGATCTCTCTTACCATGCCGGAGAAACAGGAAGCGAAATAGTACTTTTCTTACTAAAAATTTTGATTTTGAGAAAAAAAAAATATATAAAATTTTAGCTATTTTCACTATGTAAATTTAATTTCTCCTCGAGTTTTTTTTAATCTTTAAAGTTGGTTTCCAAAATATAGTCAGTAGATCGACACTACTTGAAACTATACAATAGCCACAAAAATTTTGGGCGAGGAAAAGAAGGGGGGGGGGGGGTACCCTTAATAAGAATATGTTTTTCTAAAAGTTTTATTGCATCTATTCTGAAATAAGAACATCAGAATTTGATATATATATCATTTTAGGTAAATGGCCATTTATACGTTTTCTTGGTATACAAGAACCAGCCTCAACATTATTTTCAATATTAAATTTATTATCAAATTATATATTTGGTTATCAAGTATTACGTCATTATCTTAAATATGGTGTTCATCCACTTTATTCTATGTGGATGATATTTTGTTTAATATCAATGAATGCATGGATATGGTCAACAATATTTCATACACATGATAAACCATTAACAGAAATATTTGATTATATTGGTGCTATTTCACTTGTTTTTTCACAATTTGCATGTTGTATTATACGTGTTGGTTATCGAACAAAATATATGCGTTTAACAAAATTAGCAACATTATTTTTATTAATTTTTTTTCTTTATCATGCTTATTATTTACTTTTTATTAAAATGGATTATGGTTATAATATGAAAATTAATATTATTGTTGGTATTCTTAATGTAATATGTTGGCTTTTATGGAGTATAATAAATTTTATATCTGGAAAAATTTATGTTTGGCGTTGTGCTGTATCAGTTATATTAGCAATGGTTTTTGCTGCATTAGAATTAACTGATTTTGTACCAATTGCTTGGATAATTGATGCACATTCATTATGGCATTTTTTTACGATTTTTTTACCTATTCTATGGTATCGTTTTATTGTTGATGATTCAAGATATTTACTTCGTTATTTCAATTGATTAATTATATTAAACGTGATATTTGACAAAAAAATCATTAAATCTTTCTTTTTTATTTTGTGTTTATTAATAATTAAACGCAAAAGATTTTTCATTTGCTTTATTAAATTATATATTTGGTACATAAATATTTGAGCCGCCTCTAGCCACCTGAGTCTTTTAAATTATTTAATTCAAATCTAGCAAATGTCAAAAAGCGAAATACCAACCTCTTGTTTCCTCCTATAGAACTATATTTTCGACAGCTAAAGAGCTATGTACGGTGTGTCTGTGGTAGGGAACTGCAAAGTGATCCCGGTCAGTTTTTATGCAATATATTTTCATGTTTATTATTTTGACATGATTAAAGTTCTGTAAATCAGATATTTTTATTTGCTATGTCTATAAAAGTCTTTACTGATTACGAGTCTATTTGCAAGAATTTGAGTTTTCCAATTGCACAAGTTTTTGAATACATATAAAACAACTAACACAACACTATATACGTAAGTTTTAATTCGTTCATTGTTTGATGATTCTTTTATTTAAGTCTTATCAGATAATAGTAAATAGATATGTGTCGCCGTTTTATTTTTCTTTTGACAATTGTAATAGCTACTCAGTATAAATAATCAATTCGATAATAAATCCATTAGGTCAAGCAGTAGATATAAAAGAAGAGAGAGAAAATAAGTAAATGACTGCTACGAAGCACATAAGAATTTTTAACAAAATTCAATGGTTATTTTTATTTATTCGAGCTTTCAGTGAAATTCTTTCACTTTAACACTGGATATAAAATAATTTTCGTACTATTAACGAATCAAAATCATTCATGTCAATTTTATGTATTCATAAAAGTACACAGATCGTAAAAAACAAAAGTTGCTCGATTTTAGAAATGAACCCATTGTCAAAGACCGGGCCCGGGACTAAAAAAAATATTTGACCGGCACTGGAACTAAAAAAAGTGATTTTGCAGTTCCCTAGACTGTGGATGTAAGTTGTAGTCTTTCGGTGTAGAGTGTGCGATTTGGATGTTTTGTTCTGCTCATAACCTATTTATACTCAAACCTTAAGGCACATCCACATCCTATTTATGTATCTTACATTTAAATTCATATTAAAATAAACTTTTTTTTGAAATTTAATTTGTTAAGTTGATTTTTGAGTTAAATAATGTTAATTCATCATCCCTATTCGAAGGCTCAAACGTCAAGAAGCTCAGGTAGCTAGAGGCTCAAATGTCCTGTTACCTATATATTTAGATAGTTATGAAATTTTATTGGTGTTTTTTTGTTTTTATGACATTTGGATAATTTTTTTTTTATTGTTCTAGATCACCGTTATATGTTTCTTATTAAATCAATCTTCTTATCTGAAAAGATCAATTTGTAAAAATGAGAATTATTCCATAATTTGTCAGAACAGAATTGTTAGTGAACGAATATATATTTAAAATTTTCCCTACCCAGTTAGAATAATCCTATTTATTATAATCAACTTATGAATTCAAGAAAAAACAAACATAAAATATACTAGAAGAAAAAGTATAAGAATCAAAAATTAAATTCATTTTGTTTCTTCATATTGACTTTTTTTTTTTCAAATTTATGCTTTTGTCATGCTTTTTATTATTATTTCAAGTTTATTACAAAAATAATCTGCATCTTCTTTTGAAAAACACATTGGTCTAAATAATCAACAACAAAAAAATTTGATTAACTATAAAAGAAAAAACACATATTTACGATTTAAATTTAATCACATTATTATCAGGTCCATCAAGTGAAACAATTACAAAATGTTCACGAAATCTAAAAAAAACAAAAGTCAAATCAATCTAATTAGAATCGTTCTTTTCTTCAAAGAATTAAATCATACTTCTGTCTAATTTCTTTTGCTTGTTCAATACCAGGTTCACGTTTTTCTCTATTACATACTATTTCAATTCCAAGAAAAAGTCCTCGACCACGTACATCACCAATCATATCATATTTTTTACTAAGTTCTTTTAATTTATTAAGAAAATAAAGACCAACTTGATGAGCATTTTCTTGTAAATGTTCTTTTTCAATAATATCAAGAACAGCAATAGCAGCTCGACAACTAACAGGATTTCCACCATATGTATTAAAATATTCAATACCATCATTTGTAAATTTATTTGTAATATCTTTACGAGTTACTAATGCAGCAACTGGAAATCCATTACCCATTGATTTACCCAAAGTAACAAAATCAGGAATAATATCTTATAAAATAAAAATATTAAAGTAAAATATTTAGTTTAATTTTTTTTAAATAACCTTCTTCATAAGATTGAAATGACCAAAAATGTGTACCACATCGACCAAAACCTGCTTGTACTTCATCAGCAAGACATAAAATACCTTTAGATTGAAGATAACTAATTATTAAAAAAAAAA